CTGAATCAGTGGGGGGGGGGGGGGGGGTCTGGCTCTCTCCCCGCTTCACGATCAGCAGCTCGTTGCAAGTCCCGTTGATATTTCTCATATTGGGCTTCAACGATGGGCGCCTAGGGAAGATCAGACAGCTCGACCGGCCTCCCTAGCATTTCTTGCAGTTTAGCAACAAAGGGGGCCATGATATGCTGGCAGCCCATGACATAAAGAGATCGGGCCAGGGAGTCATTGAATTGTTTGCCCCTTGGATCCTGGTCGAGCAGTTTAACCCCCTCTCCGCGGCGGGCATCACCCGTGGAGAATCGTTCGAGATAAGCACCGAAGGTGGCCGGGAGTTCCTGCTGCGCATAATCTTTCTTCAGGGCAGCAAACTCCTCATACCCTTTGAATGCCTCCCGGACGGCAGACAGATCAACCTTCACCTCAGCTGGGCCATCCGGGATACGGGGAGCGCTCTCTTCGAACTTCACCAAAGCAGCTTCAGCAGCATGAACTTTGGCTTGGAAGGCCCCGAGCTGAAGGCGTCTCTTCTCCTCCGCGGAGGCCTTCCGTTCGGTCTCCAAAGCGGCAAAGGCAGCAACCGCATTCTGCTCCGCAGAAGTCTGAGCGACGATCAGGTCCCGCTCTTTAGCTAGTCGAGCCTCTTTCAGTTGCAAACTGTAAAGCCCAACCTGCAGAATGTCGTTCGAGAAATGAGATGGTGTAAAACAGAATTTAAACTATGAGAAAACTATAGGGAAAAACTAAAGTACCTTCAGGGCTGCTAAGGCCAAGCATTCCTCAGATTGATCGACTGACAGCTTGGGAACAGTGAAATTGTTGAAAAAAGCGGAGGTAGACCAAATATGACTTGCCGAGCATCCACCTTTCTCTACAACTTCATGAACCGGATCTGCCAGTGAGATCCGGTCGACCTGGCCAGATAGATGGACGGTATGCATATCACCCGTACCCTGACCAGTCTCCTGAGCAGCCTGGAAGTGCTCAGGGAATTGATGCATCTGATCAGAACCGAACCGATTGTCGACCAACATGGCATCAAATTGGTCCTGATGGACCTATTGTAGTGGCTGTGGCTCTGGAACGGGTTGAGAAGACCCGACATCCTGAGCAGTAATAGTGGAAGGAGTGGGTTGGGGGTTCTTCCTGGCTTTCTTCCGTTTGCCGACCCCACCATCTGCAAGAACTCTACTATTGTCCATAGGTACGTCTGGATTGAGAGCTAAAAAATAACAAAGGAAAATGTTAGTACCGAGCAGACCTTAGCACGTGGGAAACAAAAAAGAAGAGAACGTTTCTCGCACGGGAAGGACCGCCCGGACCATGGCACTTGATTTCTCAAAATAAGTAAACCCAAGAGAATGGGCAGTACCTATCCCGACTTCGATTAGCCGATCGGGAGTCAGGTAACTCATGATATCTACGCATTTGTCTTTCTCCACAGCGCGCACATCCTTGTAAATTTCCTCAGTAAGGCATTCCATTTGCGGGGAATGAGGCCGTCCGGGACAGACACAAAGAAGAACCGATCTTTCCATCCCTTGATTGAAGTCGGATTGCCCTTAAACAGGATATGTCCCGTTCGGGCACTAGTGGCCAAATAGTCGTGGGTTTATTGAGGGGCTACCTTAAAAAATTGGTGAAATAAATCTAGGGTCGGCCGGGCACCGACATCTTTACAACGGCAAATAAAGCCCGCCATTGCCCGGTAGGAGTTCGACATGATTTGGGCCTGTACAATTTCGTAGAAATTAAAAAATGAAACAAAAAAAGAATGTAGCGGAAACCTAAGCCTGACCCTAATTGAATCAAAATGGACTACAACCATCCCAGGGGTATGGTGCATTGGGTGAAGCTCAGCTCGCAATCAGAAGTTCACTGGATCTGGGATTAGGGCCGGAATTTCGGCCCTATTATGGGAAGTCAGTTTTTGCCGCCTCTCCCTAATCAATCTTAGGTCAAGCGTATGACGGGGGAAATCATTGGGACGTCTGGCCTCCATGGAAGTCAGCTCATCTTTAGACTTGGTGTCATCGAAATCTTCACTGGAGGAAGAAGAACCGCTGGAGGAATCATCCGTCTCCGCCCTAATCTCCGCCGTCGCCACCTTGGAGCCCTCATCAAAAGGGACGGTGATAATCTCCACTTCACGGTCTTCCCCTTGGGAAGCCATTTCCGAATCGGAACACCGTTGAGAATTCATAACGATCGAACCAAAGGAGAGAAAGATTCAAAGGAATGAGAAGTACCTGGGCACGAAAAACTTGAAAGATTGGAGAAGAAGAGGCCGAGTAAAATCACGAATGAGATTGAAAATTCGAAACCCAGATTTGAGAAGTTAACGGCTAATTTATAGCCTTACAGACGTCGTATCAAAGACCAATCAAATAGAGACACGTCACTGAGATTATTTGAAATAATATGTGTCACATGGAAGAGCAAAGATCAACAATCATGACGAATATGGGGAAACTAAAACGACAGCCGTCAAATCACAGTATGGGGAACTGACCACTTCTGTACCTCGATCGCCATTCGGCAGTTGCAGCATTTCATGTTTATACTTCCTAATGCACTCACTGTCATTCGAGACATCAGAAGTGGGGGACTTGTGTTGGGATATTGACCCGGAGGCCCAATACCCGGATTAAAAAGGCCCAGGATATCCAGCCCAAACAACGAGTCCACTACCCTATGATGAGTAGGCCCAGTGAAGAATCCATACTGAACGAGGTTCGGTCCAAGTAGAGGCCGGCCAGAAAGCAGAAATACCGAACGGAGTTCGGGTCATACATCATACTTGGGCCAATTTGACAGCGTCTTCCTCATGGTCCAGCATCCCGTTCGAGCAACGAACAACCAGCAAGTGGCCAGGTGCATTTAATGCCAGATTGTGACATTAGCAAGTGGAAGCATGAGTGATCAAGTCGGTGGAACAACGGCCAATCAGCATAGAGCAGTCCATGCTCTCCATTAGTATAAATAGAAGATTTAATATCATTGTAAGGGTTAGCATTTTGATACTCAAGCTCTAGAATAACATTATTACTCTCGTTTCTTGTATTAAAGCACAGTTCCGACGTACCGATCGAGAAGTTTCCTTGTAATCAAACATGTTAATTAATGCAAGTGGACTTTTGAGCATTCGTTGATTCATCTTTTATATTTTGTTATACACTTTGATTCTGATCCATTCCTGATATATCCAAAGTTCGTGTTGGGCTTTCGGATCAGCGGGACTTAACCTCAACAACTTTCATATTTTAGAGCTTAGTTTTTAGTTGGTGGCCAGAACTTTCTTGTGTATTCCACAAGGTGTTGTAAACACTCAGGAGGGCAGTTGTTCCCGGCCTGAGTGTGGTTAGATAGGTCAAGAGTACCTTTTGATCCCCACTGGATCAATAGAGAAAAACCTAAAGGATTGAGTAGCTTGGAGTGGTGTTGTACTCCTCGGGAAACACCTTCAATCTAGGCCAGAGTTGTCAAGACTAGATTGACACTAAGTGTATAGGGTGGGACTGGATGTAGGAGGATTACACCACCTCTGAACCAGAATATACCGTGTGTTGATTTACTTTCAGTTAACAAAGAACACACCCAACACTTCTCACTAAAGGGATCGTGGTTTGACAGCAGCATCCTAAGCAGTAGTCTTAATTGACTCTACTGCTTATCCTACTGCTTAATAACTTACTTTACCTGAGACAACTGTTTCACAAGAGCCTTGGAACATCACTACTAAAAGGTCCATTTTGCCTGTTCTCAGAAATACATCTTTCATAATCAGCAGGTGCCTTAGCAGTTTCCTGGGTCTACCCAACTGCTTAGATCTCTGCTTAAGCAAAACCCCTTATTATCTCCAGCTTAGAACATCTTCAGAAAGCTCTCATCATGCTGTATAAGGCCACATAATCATCTCTCCCAAACTCCCATTTTCTAGTAGCAGTTTCTTCACCAGTTCCCTGCCATCCAGGCAACTGCCATGTCAACTGCTCACCATTTAAGTCCAAACTTCACCCACTATAGAAAGTTGTTAGACACTGTTTTTCTAAGAGGCTAAAGACTTTCGCTGTGCATCTATAAATCTCTCAAAAGATTTTAGATCAACTCATTTAGAAGGGAAATTTTTTCAAAGTCGAAAAAGTTTTGAAAGTCTATTCACCTCCCCTCGGGACCATCATTTTTATAGTCAATATTGGTGTTGTATGAAAGATAATAAAAAGTTATAAATTTTGATATATTTTTTGTAACAATCCGAGTACAAATAAAAAAGTTACAACAGTTTAAAATAAAGAGGGAATTCTTTTAGTATGTGGGGCCCATGATTAAATTCCTATGTTTGGCTGAGCGTGATTTTTGATCGATCGAATGTCTAATAAGCCGCCACTTGAAGTGACGGTTTTGTTAACCATAGTCTACTATAATATTATTTTGGAAATTATTTGTAACCACTCAGTATTTTGGGAATTATTTATTTAAGTAGATTATTTCGGGAAAAAATTCAAAGATATGAAAAATGGGATTTTTTTTATCTTTTCTCCCACCCCAATTTTCTCTCCTGCACAATGACGGCTCTCTCTTCCGGCTTTCCGTGTTGACAAGGGAAAGTCGCCATTCCATTTGGCGTTTCTAGTAACCGTAGTTTAAACAAGCGGTGCATTGGTAAATAATTTTAAGGCAATTTCTATGGTATCTTGAAGGTATGGTACCTTGATGGTATGCACCAATAAAAAATTTTCAATTGAATAATTTAATTAAATGCAAATAAAATGTAAAACTTTGAGTTGGACCAATGAAATGCATCCTAGGTATGGTACCCTCCTATTTTTGTTGGGTACCATAGCAAGCACCTAATTTTAAAACCTTATTTTGGTAATTAATTTGTTTTTTAACACTAATTTAGAAAAAAACTTATTTGATTCCTATATACGTACTACGTATAATCCTAATCGTAAGTACCAAACATGTGCAAGCACACGGAAGCGCGGGTCCGGTTTCTGAAACGAGTTCGGTACGGAACGGAACGGAAGGTGGTATATTCATTATTCAACACATGTTTTCTGCTTTTCTATGGATCCGGAAGCTTGGCCTGCACATAGTCCAACGAGATGGGACGCCGTAATCTTGATAACCGGTCAGATCCCAACTAGTTCGTTATGCTTTCGTACTCGGCAGATATTCATGAGATGAAAACGTACTGGCCATATATATATCATCTCAGATTTCCTCAGCTCTATTTTTTCCGGAAACTAAGAATTAGAGGTATTTGCAGCCTTTTCTAATTCTTTTCCCTTTTATGCCATTTTCGATTAGTTTTCTGTAGTAGATTCGGTTAAATTTCGCAACCTCTCGTTACTTGCATACTTAAATTTCTGGAGTATGTTAATTTAGCAATTATTTAATCTATCGATTGTAATTTTCAAGCGATTCGCGAGCCCTTATTTCGAGCTTTGAGTTAAGATAGTGTGCTTTGGATCGCTCAATATACACGCTAATGCTGCTTTAGCTACAGTCGTGGATTTTATCTTATACTCGCCATCGTTTTGTTTATGGATATATAGATATAATCTTTTGCAAATGTTTTTGCTGCTTATCGGACAAGTATGTACTTTTGGGGAATTATCATGACCTTGAGTATAGGGATGTCCTGAAGCGATTGAATTCCTTGAACTAGTAGATTCGCTATTGATTTTGTGTTTCTAATATACAGCAAATCCTTGTATCCAGGGGGGTATCCAGGGGCAGCTGCCCCTCAATCCCACCCAACCCCTATATATAATATAATGTACAAGTGTGTTTATGCGTCTACGGTTTATATTAATATGCTAACGAAGTTAGTGTTTCTATAATTTGTGGTACTGTAATGGAACTTCTTCCATGTTTTTTTTCAAATAGACGAGAGTTTGAATCCCTCCTAATAACTTTGGAGTTTTAATTTTCTTAGCCTCTTTAAAGTCTTTAATCCAGCCTCTTAATTTTCTCCCTATTTCAAGGGTTCAAGTTAGTTTTAAATGGTCAATAACTCTAATTTGACAAATAATATAACTTGATCTTCTTTTTGTACATACCTACATTTGCAACTTAAATTAGTTAAAGTTACATAATTAACCTGCCCTTATATGATTCTTTTTTATGGACATAATTTTAATAAACTAAAAATTGCCTCTCTAATATATGTTTCTAAAATGGAAAAATTATATGATGACGAGTCCATAGTCTTCCTGGTGGCTACATTATTCATATTGAATACCACCTCCATGATTCACCTAGATATCAGAAATTTGATTTCAATGTTGTTACACAATTGGTTGTTCAGAAATTTATTTGGAGCACTGAACTATTACAAATCTGAGGAACCAACTTTTTATTGCAGAAGAAATTATGGCTTTCTTAGCAACGGCTGAAGTTTGTGATTCTAATATAGCTTATCTTGCGAGTGGTGAGTTGCGGGTACTACAACCTGTTTTTCAGATATATGGGCAATGCCGTGCATTTTCTGGCCCCATTGTTACTCTTAAGGTGTTTGAGGACAATGTGTTAGTGCGGGAGATTCTTGAAACCAGTGGTGAAGGCAGAGTCTTGGTGATAGATGGTGGTGGAAGCTTGAGATGTGCCTTGGTAGGAGGTAACTTGGTGCAGCTAGCTCAGAATATGGGCTGGGCTGGCATTGTAGTAAACGGTTGCATAAGAGATGTAGATGAGATCAATGGGTGTGACATTGGGGTCCGAGCATTGGCATCAAACCCTCTGAAACCCAACAAGAAGGGCATTGGTGAGAAATATGTACCTGTTTATGTTTCTGGAACGTTAATTCGTGATGGGGAATGGTTGTATGCTGACAGTGATGGGATTCTCATCTCTAAAACTGAGCTCTTCATCTGATTGAGGTGGCATAGCCATGCTTTCATTGGCCCATCTCACCTTATGCCATTTAACTCAGATTGTGTTGAAGTTCTTGCAATGCTTTCTTTGAACTATTATGCTTGGTTCATTTGCATAGACTTTGGTTTTCGTCCTTTTTTCTTCTGTGCATAAGGAGTATATGCATTGATTGTATACAACATTGCTGCCTGGCTGTTTACGCATGCTTAATTTACACTCAGAAGTCCAAATACTGATTTTGAAGCAACGTACCTTTTGGGGATGATGCTAGTGGAACAGTTACCATGCTCGAATACATATAAACAATTTTAGACAAAAAGTGGTAATTATTTAGTTCCCACACTTTAGCACCTGGGAATAGTTTTTTTCTCCTACTCGGATTAGTTGAAAATCCGTATGAATGCACCACCTACTTGACTGCGTCTTTCTTCTACTTGGCTCGGTCTTTATTTCTCACTCCAGCACCTTGGAGTAGTTTTACGTATCTCAATTTTTCTTTTTACTTGGAGTTTGCACCCCCTTTCAGAAAGAAAAAAAAAGGTAACAACTAGCTTTAACAAATAAACTGTTTTTAGAGCTGTTGAAATGCTTTCAAAGGCAAAACATGACCCCATATACCTAATTTTCAAGTTTCATCCATGAAATGTTCATCCTTTTTAATTAGTACATTTTTCAATAAGACAAGAGTCTTTACGAGTAATGGAACCAGTCTGTTATGTTCCGTGGCTAGAGCCTCGCGTCAATCGGGCAACCGATAGTTGGTGAGGGCAAGAAGATGGGATTGAAGGAGATAAAACTTTAGAAATTTTATAGAGTTCCTTTTTCCTTGATAAGTACTCAATTCTGGCTTGTTCATTATTCAAAGCAAGAGTCTCTACTTATACTAAGGGTTACAAAAACGAGTACGGAAGGAGATGATTACATTAAATCAATTCTTAATACATATTCATCTAATGATGGAAAGCAATAAATCTAATGATGGAAATCAATAAAGTTGCAAATCAACTTAACCATGGAAAGTAATTAAGTAGTCTAATGAAGGAAAACAATCAAACAACAAATCAAAATCTGTTGTAAAGCAAATTAATATCATTCCATAATGAACTGCATGTGGTATCGCTTATAGGACTTTCGGTAGAATGCATCATCGCTCTCTTGAAGGACATCAAGTTTGTCCTCAAGCTTGAAAGACGCAAGTTATATCCTACACCCGGGTGTACATGTACACCCGGTATTTTTGTAATTAGTAGCAAGTTGGAGGATAATTATTAAACTGAAGTGCTGAGCTGCTTTCTTTTTCCGCCTATGCTCCACTCACGTTCACCCTTATTTGGTAAGTCTCCTTTCTTTTTTTTTTTTGTTTTTTAGCAACCTTTGTTATATTCAATTATTATGAATATATATAATATAAAATATTATTAAAAGTTTCAGTTTATTTTTTAGATTCATGTAAGAGTTGTTTATAGATATAGGAGCATAGAACATGACACTCAATTGCATGTTTTCAATACTCAATAGAGGAGGTTTGATGTTCAATAAAAATGTATTGAAATTCAACTAAAAAACTTATGATTTTCATATCAATACTCATTTTGTAAGTTACGTTTGTTCAATTTGTATTCATATTATGCTCATTTTAAAATATGATATTCATGCAAATTTTAAAAGTTGTGTATGACATTATATTCACATTGTTAGATTCCTAATACTCAACCGAATAAGTCTGATACTCATTGAAAGTGTTTTAATGCTCATAATATGTTTGATGCACATTAAAAGTTCATTAATGCTCATTTAACAGAAACTGTGATTTTCATCTCAATAGAGGAGATTTGATACTCAATGAAAATGTCATTATGTCAAACTAACAAACCTTACGATTTTCATATCAATGAACATTTTGTAAGTTACGCATGCTCATCTGGTAGTGATCTTATGCTCATTTTCTAAATGTCATATCAATATATTTTTAAAGTACTGTTTTACATTAATTCACATATTGAAATTAATAGGATTTGATTATAAATATAATTTGATAAGATTTTATAAAAGAAAAATAATAAAAAGAAAGTGAATTACAAGTTATGACTTATGAAGCAGAGATCACGATTCTCAATATTAGACTCCTAATACTCAACATAATTGGTATGATGCTCATTAAAGGTTCATTAATGCTCATTCACTAAAAACCGTGAATTTCATCTCAATAGCGGAGGTTTAATGCTCAATTAAAATATCGTGATGTTCAACTAACAAACCTTACAATTTTTATATCAATGTGCACTTCGTAAGTTATGTTTGCTTATTTGGTACTGATGTTATGCTCATTTTTAAAATGTCATATCAATGCATATTTCAAAAGTATCATATTACATTAGACTCGCATATTAAAATTAACATGAGTGGATCATAGATATAATTTAATAAGTTTTTATAAAAGAAAAAATAAGAAAAAGAAAAAGAACTTGAAGATATGAAGTACAGATCGTGATACTCATTGTTAGCCTTCCAATACTCAATAAAATAGGTCAGATACTCACTAAACGTACACTATTGCTCATTTAGCGGAAGACATGATTTTTCGCTTAAATTACAAAAATGCCACCGATTTTTTTTTGGCTGTATCGATTATTGGGTTGTCTTCCTTAAATGGGCCAGGTGTACGTACACACGGATGAGAACTTATGTTTAAAATCATGTCGTGTTCCCAAGTAGCCACTTCCAAAAGAAAGCCCATCCAAGCAACCAAAATTTCAAGAGAGCCTTCATATGATCTGGTGCACACAACAACTTATGGTTGAAGGAGTAGCTGACCTTCTGTAATTGGGGGTAGTGGCGGGGCATGATCAGGTGTACTGCAAAACGACAAACGACAAGCAACTCAATCTTATAAGCAACTGATCCAACCTTGTGTAAAACTTGAAAAGGTCCATACCATTTGTGAGATAACATGTGAAATCAATGGTGAGCTAATGAATGATGGCGGTAGTGTTGAAAACGTATCCAAACCCACTGGTTGGGTTCAAAAACTGACCTCATAATGGTGCTTATCATACTTGATAGAGTAATTATCTAGAGAGAAGTGAGAACTAGAGAGAGAAGTGCAATAATATGCTTCAATAGAATGATTTTGTAACCCTGATAACTACCTCCAGAGGAAGTATTTATAGGGAAAATACGGGCTTGGGAGGCCCATTTACAACTGGACCGCTACTGGGCCGAATACAAAGCCACTAATGGGCTGTACAAATGAGTAAATGTAAAATCCGGTTCTGTGGGTCTCCCGTGGCCGACAAGGGCTCTGGCCGACGCGGGCACGGCCGACGCGGGCACGGCCGACGAGGACACCCCGGTTCCTTGGCCTCAAGATCATATTCTGGATCGGCCCCTCTTCGGCCGACGGGGGTCTTACGGCCGACGAGGGCACCGTGTAGTGACTGTGCTTTCCGTTCTGAGTATGTGGGTCCTGGGGCCTGGACCCATATACTCCATCAGGAGTCCCCCACTCTCTAAGCTGAGATGTAGACGAAGTGCAGGAGAGTAGATTTCGTGTGCTTGATGCTCCTTGGCCGATGCGGGGATTGGTAGCCCTACGTTTTGAGTTTGGCCGTTGCCTGTCCCCTGGTGCGGCCGGGGAAGGCCCTTGTTCCTTTGGTGCGCTCTGTTGGGTGATGCGCGTTCCGACACAGGTGGCCGATGAAGGTAGTATCCGTCCTTGGTTGTTGGCTAGGTAAAGTTTCCCCTTTGGGCTGGTGAGGCCGATGAGGGCACTCCGCATTCCTTTTGGCCGTCGTTGATGATGCCTTGTGTTATTGGATGACCAGGCGTCATCTTGCCCAAGGCTTTGGGGTTGATAACATTGTCTGGCCGAAGAGGAAGTTGTGAGGACCTCGGGCCGTTGTGGTACATGGCCGACAGTGATTCAGGTATGTTGACCTTTCTCTTGGTTCCTGGCTTGAGTGATGTGGTTTCAAAGCCGATAAGTGTCCTGTGATCTTAAGCTTTGCTGTGGCCGATGGTGCACCATGATGTCGTGGACGTGGTGGTGCATGTCTGATGTTGTGGTTGTGGACTTGGTGTATTCTTGGATTTCTTTTGGTTTTTCCTTTTATTCTTGAGGCCGATGTAGTCCCCCAGTCCCCCACTGCTTCAGGCCGAAGAGGGTGAGGGGTGAAGGAGTAGATTAAGACCTAGGCCGAAGTGTGGTCCTCATACTGTCCTTGAATCCAACCCTTTGGCGATTTCCTGACCAAGGTAACCCTGTGGGAGAACCCTTGAACGCAGGTCGCTTTCAAAGGGTTATCATCAAGGGTCTAGTGCAAGGGCCTCATGGCCGTTATGTCCATTTCCTTTGGGGTGTTGTGACCGTTGTGGAACCTTCCTTTGCATAATGCGTGGCCCTTTGAAAAGGCCGATACGAGTGCTACCTGGGTAGCCGTGGGCTGTGTTGGCCGTTAAATGCCCTGGCTGTTATGGGTGTTGTATTTTCCCTTCTTGATCCGTATGGCCTGCTTCGGTGGTGGGCTGCTGATCTGTAGACAGAGTGGTGGCACCTCATTGGTGGCCGTTGGTGTGGCCACTGAGGTGCTGCCACGTGTAGTTACCGTTGGAGGTGTTGCCTATAAATACCCTCCTCCTTCCGAGGAGGGGGGCTCATTTGCATTCTGAGTAACGAAGTGCTGCCCAAATTCTTAGAGAGAGAGAGCTTTGCTGAGTGTTCTTCACCCCTTTCAAATCTTCAAGGTTAGTTCTTCAACCTGTTCTTCGATTTTGCTACATATTTTGCTCTCCTAGGCTTCGATCTAGTGTTAGTCACAAGAACGCCTTAGATCTGAAATAGCTTGCCTTAGTGCCTTAGGAGTTGTTTAGGATGAAGTCTTTAAATGGCGAGTATTACCCGTACGACGACGAGCCCTCCGTCAAGTCTCTGGACTACGATGTGATTGAAGAGTGCGCCGACGAGATCGAGTGCCTGAGCCCGTACAAGTCTGGGGGGCCTGCGGACGAGGAAGACGAGGACGAAAGGTCCGCGTCGTCATCTGAGGGCGAGGACGTAAGGGCCCCCCATGTGGTGGACGGGGCGTCCGCCTCTACTGCTATCCCGTGTCCGAAGCCGGTATCCGCCGTCAAGGGCCTGCCACGGCCGAAGAGGAACAGGAGGCCGAAGAATGGGCCAGGCTTCTCTCACCTGGACCTTACCAACATTTTCTTGATCAAGCCGGAGAGCAGTGCTGCCGATTACCTGGTC